AACAGCCAATATTTACCTCCAACCTCTGATGTTAACAGAAACAAGAGTGAGAAAACTTCCTCCTTTTGCTTTATATACCATTGGAAGACAGCTGACGTAGGCCTCAGAGGTAAATGTTAGGAATCGGGCGCAAGTGTACCCATGCCAACTGCACCCTTGTAGGCAACATTAAAAGCATGTTTTCCTAATTATACTGTTTATACTTGATTATACATACACAGCTGAAAAAGTCTAGTTTTCACATCACCTGATTAGGTACAGTGACTGCATTTTTAGAAGGAAAATCTACAAGTGCTCTTATGCAGATTCCAGGATAGAAAGTTTGGGAGAGAACTATCCATGGAAAAAAAAAAGCCTCATACTAGTTGTAGGATCTTGGGCAAGTTATTTATAATCATCTTGTGTTTCAGTTTTCCCATCTGTAAAATGGTATAATAATAATAATGCCTGCTTCATGGGGTGGTTATGAGGATTAAATAGGTTAGTACTTGTAAAACATTTCAAACAATGCCTGGCACATCGTAAGGGCTATATAAGTTTTATCACAATTTTCACAAATTTTTTAAAAGCGATAATTAGAAATTGCACTAAACATTGAAGAGATACATTTACAAACACATTCAAAGCATGCATATCAATTAAAGTTCTTGGCTACAAGTAACAGAGATGCAGACAAAATTTTTTAGGAAATGCATGGCTTGTAGAATAACTGGGAAGAGTTAAAAAATGGTTGGAACCAAGAGAGGCTGGGCAGCAGAGGACGCAGCCACAGGGACCTGCAAGGAACATTACTGAAACATTCCGTCCCATTGATTCTGACTTTGAAAGCATAAGGTAAATAGCATATACAAAAATAAACATTTTAAGCGGAGCTTTGGACTTATTATCCCCTGTGTTCTTAGAAATACCAGTAAAATTAATCCTTCTTTTTGCTGGATAAGTATGTGACGGAAGGTACTGGAGTATCTCAATCAAACTTAGCTACCAATAGCTCCTGACTTTGCATCTTAGAAATTTTCTCTCTGTTCTAGCTTGAAAATCTTGCAAAGAACTCAGATTGGCCTGGCTTGGGTCAGACGTGCCCCCTAAACTAGCCAACTGTGGTGAGTGAAGAGTCATAAACCACTGGGCTCATGCCAGAGACACATGGTTAGCAGTGGAGACACAGTTACTTCAGAAGAGAGACTGCCAAGCAGACTGGCACAGCTGAGCTCTACACACTCACACTGTATCCATACTGAATGTGGAAAATAATTCATGAAGAAAAATACATTCGTATACATACTGGGTTCTAAGCAAGGCTAAGAAAGGGGAGCGACATGAGGAGAAAACGGAGAAAACAGGGGAAGAGAGAAATAAGTAAAAGAGAAAAACCAAGGAATGCACAAAAATTTAACTAGTAATCACTTTCTATAGCACAAATCACAAGAAAAGAAGCCAGTATTAGTTGAAAATTAATTTTTCTGGTAAAGGATGTAAAATATAAGGTACAAAAACTTAGCCCAAATTCTAACAGGCCTGTCCGAGGATCTGTAATGAACTGGATGCCAGTCTGGTCGTCCTGGAGGTTCCCACATGAAAGACTAAATGATAACAGGCATGATTTATTCAGAGGCAGGTAAAATTGCTGGTACATTTTCAAGTTTTCCCAGATTAAGAGTTAAAATGAAAACATTTCCAGCTCTCAGGAAAAGATTCAGTTAAGCATAAATATCCTTTTTCAAAACAGGGTGACAAGTCGAAGTTTTTACTGCAAAAGTATATGTAGACATTTCTGAAGTATGTTTAGCAGTCGGAAAGAGACTTTAAGATACGGTCTGCAGCCAAGCTAGTGGAAATTTCTAGCATACTGCCATCTTCCTCCCTTCACAATACATATACCAAGTTAAATTCCGTAAGTACTACAATAAATACACCTATTTAACTTTGTTTGACCAAGTGTTCCTCAAATATATTTGATCAGGGAACCTTTTTATTATATCTGTTTGTATCCTAAGGAACTCATGTTCTAAAGGACATACTTTGAGAAATGCTGCTATGTGGCAAATAAATACTGTGATTCTAAGGGTGGTGAGTTGAGCAACAGTTGTGATCTGTTTTAGTGTCTCTAAGGAAAGTAATAAATGATACATTACTTCTCAAATGTTCTTTTTATAGAACGAGTGTTGTGTGGAAATCCCATGCACCTTTCTCACAAACCATGCTGCTGCAGAAATGGGAAAATGCTCTAAGATATTACCACAGTACTGAAAACACATAACAATCCCACTTTACAGCATTGTACAGAGGATGAAGAGAATGTCAATATAAAAAGAACAACTCTGAAGAGGTGAGCAATTACCAAGTATCTCTGGTCTCTTAAGGCAGTGCTCAGAACTGGCCTGAAGGGGGTCCTCTCCAAACGGCTGAGCTGACTTAGCTCCTTCTCCTCTGGCCTCCTGAACAGACGGCGTCTAGTGTATATACGGGAGCTCACCCAGTTCTCCCCAGGAGAGCTGGGACCCTGCAGCATCTACTGCCTGTCTTTGGAGACAATACCTATGCAATCCTCCCCAATCCCCAGGACCCCCTGGGCCAGTTCCATCAGAAACCACATTTCTGACGGCACAGTTACGTGTCACAAGGTGGAGGAGGAAAGGAGTCCCTAGCCTACTACACCAAGTGCGTAAAGGTAGGGTTGGGGTGGACATATATGTTCCTAATGTCTGAGTTGGCTGAAATTTGAATGAGTTTTCCACGAGGATCAGTATTATAAGTGATGAATAGACTTTCTAGATATGTAGTTCAACTCTATCATTGTTAAATCATTTTGAGGGGATTATTGTGAAAATATACTACCACTTATAACATTATTTCCCTAAAAAATAAAAAAGCATGTTGTGTTCTAAATACTGCACACTAAATATAATAATACAGAGAATTAAAACATTGGTAAATTATGGACAGGCTGCAGTTAGTTTCCTAAATCCTTCGAGTTTCCTCCAAAATTTATTCATGGTTCATGCGACACAGTATAGCTTTTTTGTTGTTTGATATTTTCTTAACCTGATATGCCCACTTTAATTTTTACAGCAATCCCTAATTTAAACAATGCTAGGGGCCGGCCCTGTGGCATAGTGGTTAAGTGTGTGCACTCCGCTGCTGGCGGCCCAGGTTCGGATCCCGGGCGCGCACCAACGCACTGCTTGTCAGGCCATGCTGTGGCAGCGTCCCACATAAAGTGAAGGAAGATCGACACGGATGTTAGCTCAGGGCCAGTCTTTCTCAGCAAAAAAGAGGAGGATTGGCGTGGATGTTAGCTCAGGGCTGATCCTCCTCACCAAAAACAAAAAACAAAAAAAAACAATGCTAATCAGCAAATGTCTTAAGTCTTGATTTGGAAATCTGGTATTCATGGTTAGAATGAACAAGTAAATTAAACAGAAATACATTTTACACAAATCTTATTTATTTTTTCTCTGTTATTCAACACAAAAATATGCATTTCAAAACACCTTAGGATATTTGATATGCTGTGCAACACAAAAGGCCCATCCAGCCAACCCTGTTCCAAGGCGAGTCTGAGGGGCCCAGTTACAGGGCAGCAAGGTGAGCCCGCGGCTGCAGGCACATGTCCTGTTTTGTAAACTCACACTGACTCAAGACAATATTAAGAAAAGACATACTTCAAAGAGCAAAATAGGGCCAGCCCCAATGGCCTAGTGGTTCAAGTTCAGCATGCTCTGCTTCAGCAGCCTGGGTCCGGTTCCCGGGCGTGGAACCACACCACTCCTCTCTTAGTGGCCATGCTGTGGCGGTGGCTCACATCAAAAAAAAAAAAAAAGAGGAAGATTGGCAACAGATGTTAGCTCAGGGTGAATCTTCCTCAGCAAAAAAAAAAAAAAAAAAAGGAGCAAAATAAAGGTAAGAGCACTGAGCACCTTTTACAATGTTGGAATAAAATATTCATTCATTCTCTGTGTGAAAATCTGGGAAAAGATGAAAGGCAAACTAGATATCAAAGGAGTTAAAAGATAAGTGTTTATAAAGTCAGTCTTCTCTGACTTGTGAAAAAACTGATTAAAAATCCTTTGAGACAAGGTGAAAGTTCCTGGGTTCTCCACCTCCCGATGTCACTGTCTGCTACAGAAGCGCCTGAGTTGTCCATCCAGATTTTACATTACAGACTGATACATGAGCTCTTAATACTGACAGCAACACTTTCCTTTTTTGTACTATAATGCTTTCGCTGGTATGCCATGAAGTACTATCACAAATAAATTATAACTATACTTCATCATAAATAGAAATTAAGAAAGTATATTTTGCCAAACCTTTCGAGTCTTCCTAGTTGTATTTGTTCACTCACCTGCCAACCTGAAAAATCTAGTAATTTGTAGAGGGCTTCCTCATCATAATGTGAATTAGTAAAGCTATAACTTAATTCAAAAGCAATTATTTTTTAAAAATGGGACTCAGACCAGCAAAGCTTAGCATCAGCCAAAATCTACCGGCACACCATGGGCAAAAAGCCAACTCTACAGTGAGATGTAAAGGCCACTTAGGAAAAATCCAAATAAAAATTACTCTCAACATATTTTGTCCATTAGAATTAGTTTACAAAGGGAAATCTAAATTTAATGAGGGGACTTTAAGGTCTTTGGACTAGACTCTCACAATCAGAAAGAAAAGCAATTTTAACACTGATTCTTATAATATTGTCAGAAAGTTTAACCACTGATTTAAAGAATTCTGTTGCAACAAATCATGATAAAAGCTATGGTGGCAACAGATATTACAATTACAATTAAAAACTAATCCTTTCAATTTTTTCCCATGAACAAGACACAAATACTAAACATTTTCTACTTTTCTATCTCCAGAAATTCCATGAGAATCCAGAAGTGAAAAATAAAGTGAAGTTCAAACCTGCATCTAGCTGGTGGACTAGAAACAGCATTAAGAAGCATAAGATAATACTGTTGCGTACTAAAGAAAAATGACAAACACCCGAAAACGTTTTTTCCACTGAAGCATTACTAAATTTGAAATAACACATCCTGATTGTCTTTTTAGTGTTGTCGTTTAGTAGTCAGAAATACTTGCAACACTAGTGCTGAGAGCTGATAAATATTTATGGTGCCACCTGGTGATGTCCTTCAAGTTCGGCCACAGTATTGACTCTGGATGTGATCAATACTGCCCCCACAGGAGCACATGTGCCTTTGCGTATACAGGAAGCTGTACAGCTGGGGACCAGACTGTCACAGGTGCTCTGAAACATCAGTGAGAAGAGCTGCCAACTAAGGGAAAAAAACGAAAATGGAGAATGCTTCACTGTGCTTTCCCACAGACACAATCACTATTTCACACATGCAAAACCTAAAGAAGATGGAAGCTCCTTTATTCCAGATATCCTGTAAATTCAGCATTCCACATATGATTTTCTTTATAGGAGCATAATATGCTGTGCATCAATATCCATCTTCCTATTGAATCCTTGATAAGATTTCAGTTTCCAAGGAGAATGAGAAGCAAGATCCAGAAGCTGAATGATGGCATCAGCAACATCATATGAGATGGCTTTTGGGTTTGCCACAGAGTTTGAGTTTCTTTGTCGTGAGCAGCTGTGCCAGGCCATTGAGAAACACCAGAACCATGGTCATGGACATGACAATCACATAGTGGCTGATGCTGCAGAAGGAGAAAAAGAAACGTGTTACAGGCAGAGACAACACATATGAGGAAAAGCAGAAGATCCCTTCAAATAATGTTTTTAAATGTATATATAAAATACATGGAATTACAAAGGATCCCAATGATTTGGAAATAGATATCAAAATGTTAAAAAAACAAATTTGTTATAGAAGTAGTGATGAACATAAATAATATTTTGAGATATCTCCAACAACTGTAACATGTCATGAAAATGTCTGATTGGTATTGGCAGTGCCTGTGTATCTGTCACCAGTAGAAACTGAATTTCAAAATCTAGCTTTTAGAAAAATAATTTTCCCCCTTCAATTCTTGGACCCTCTGAATAATATCCACATACTCCCCAAGACGTTCTCAGGTTAAGTATTCTGACATTTTAGAGGACGCCATCTGATGCTCTGACATAAGTTAGAAGTACTCTGACAAAACTACCAGCTACAAAGAAAGAAAAATGTTACCCAAACTCAAATTCAGTGAAGTGCAAGTTTTAGCCAAGAAATCTGAACAAAGGAAAAAGGACACATCTCTTTATTAATCTCATAGTCAAAGCTACTGTCTCCTAGACTTTTGGAAAAAGACAGAAGAACAATGAATACTATTAAAATTACTCAGTCTCAGTTCTCATCTATCAGCAGTAGTAAACGTTCAGTTTTTCTTTTTAAACACAGTAATTGTACTATCTAAAGAATATGGTTTGATGATACATTTAGAAGTATGGGAAGCAATTTAGGATATGGATCTGACAAATGTACAGTAAAGCAGAGGTGCCACCAGCAGTGCTAGTACAGCACTGCCCAAGCTAAGCTCCAATGCAGACGGGCAAGTGGTCTATTTACAGCGCCTCTCAGAGCTGCAGTGAACTATCTGACTCGATGATAGATTCGCACAGTTTACATCCTTCAGCAACGGTGGGGGAACCTTTTAGCAGGCCGATAACCAGACTGGCTTGAGGAAGGGAGGCCTCTTTTCTGCCCCTTTCTCTCCACTACCCTAGCAAAAGGAAGAGTCGTAGTACTGGTTAAAGAAGCCCCCATCCAGAAACGGCCTACAGCCCCAGGGACCTTCTCCACAGGCGGGCAGCCCCCTCAACGTCAGACTGCTTCCCCTAGGCCAAACTAAGCAGAGCTTTGGCACGCTGTCAGGTGTTTGCCCACAGGCAAGGACCCCCAAGCCAGGAAAGAAGGGCCTTCTACACTGCACAGGTTGTTTGTTTTTGGTGTTGTTACAGCTTGTAAGTAAGAACCTCCAATGATAAAGTTTTATAGTTTGATAAGATTTTCCTTGGAAAGGCGCTGGTTAGGACATTCTTATTTAGAGTCTTTCTCTAGGTTCACCGTATAAAATAAATGTGAAATAGAAAAAGAAGAGTTGAAGAATTAAAAAAACAAGAATTAGAACGAGTTATGTTAGAAATCTGGTTCTGGTCTAGGGTAGGCTCCTGACGTAAAAAAGAAAACAAAATCAGATCCTCAACTGCTAAGCAAATATTAACACTAAAGAAAGATTTTTAAAACTTTTGTTTGTTTGCACTGTAAAAATAACACAACAGGATATTGGACCAGGGATTTTTTTCTACTTAAATTTATGTGTGTGTGTGTGTACGTGTTTGTATATTTTTTTAACCCTGAATGAATATGATATGGATCTTACCTACCATTTAATAATGTAGATGTTACAAATTACAAAGCCACTTGCCAATTTTAATAGCTACAGAGGAAATAAATCACTGAACATTATTTATTTTAAAATGAAAATGATTGAAAGACTAGATTTATTTATCATCCTATCAAGCTTTGCTGGGGATAAAATTATCTAGATATTGATTTAAACAGAGTTCTCTTGAAAAGCAGGCCAAAATAGACAAGCTTATGTTACTAAAATTATGTGAGCCATGCCAACATCTGATCACACAGAAGTGGGTAACTGGTTGACTGACATTACTTTAAATGTCTTCCAAAGCAAGGCAACTTAAGTTCACCGCCTCTCAGTACACAACTTTGCTAATTTTACTGAGAAAATACTGACAGAGCAATCATAAGAGAGAACTACTTCTCTTCTCACCCCAAACCTACTAATACAATCATATCTGTGTCCATATGTCCTCCTGCACCAGATCCTGTCTACAACAAACTCCTCCACTTCTATTGTGGACCCATTTCAACTTTCCTACTAAAGGACTTTATTTTTGCAACTATCCCCTCCCTCTCCTCTATAACCAATTTCTCGCTCTCTAAAGTGAGTATACCTTTCACCACACAGATATGTAATGTCTCTCATCCTAAAAACAAATGAAAACCTCTCCCACGATGCCCTAGCTCCCTCCACCACCATCCTAACTTCAGGCTCTTTAAATGTGATATGTCCAAAACCCACCTCCTAATCTCCTACACCCTCCTTCATCAAACTCACTCTTCCTAGAGCCTTCTCCATCTCTGGAAATGGCTTTACCATTCACTTAGTTACTCAAGATGAAAAACGTAGGAGTCAACCTTGATTCTTATCTTTTGTTCTCCCAGCACAACCAATCCATCAACAAATTCTATTCACCTCTTTCAGAATATTTTCAAATCCAGCTTCTTGTTACCATTTTGAATTGCTACCCTAATCCAAGCTGCCGTCATCTCTAGTTTAGAATACTGCAACAGCATCTTCATCAGTTTTCCTGTTCCCTCTCTTGATCCCTACAATATGTTCTCCACACTGTGGCCAGAGTGGTGTTTCAAAATATAAAGCATATCAAATCACTTCCCTGCTCAAGAGTCTAATGCTTTTTGCCTTACACTTGGAATAAATTCCTAATTCCTTACAATGATCTTCAACCATAAGTAATATCAACTTTCTGTCTTTCTAAACTCTCTCCCTAGGGGCCGGCCCCGTGGCTTAGAGGTTGAGTGCGCACGCTCTGCTACTGGCGGCCTGGGTTCGGACACTGGGCGCGTACCAATGCACTGCTTGTCTGGCCATGCTGAGGTGGCGTCCCACATACAGCAACCAGAAGGATGTGCAACTATGACATACAACTATCTACTGGGGCTTTGGGGAGAAAAAGGGAAAAAAAAGGAGGAGGACTGGCAATAGATGTTAGTTCAGAGCCAGTCTTCCTCAGCAAAAAAAAGGGGAAGATTGGCATGGATGTTAGCTCAGGGCTGATCTTCCTCACAAAAAGTAAAAAAATAAATAAATAAAAAATAAACTCTCTCCCTACCGTGTTTCCCCTCACACCATTCTAGTTACAATAACCTTCATGCTTTCAAAAGTATTTACTAACATGGGGAAATGATTATTATAGAAAGTCAACTTTAAGACAAAACAAAATCCTATATATGTTTGCACATAAATTAAGGCTAAAAGAATCTACGTCAACATGTTGAACCACCAGAGTGGTTATCTCTGAGATATTGAATTATGGATGACTTATTTTTTCTATATACTTTCAATATTTTCTATAACAAGCTTGTGATACATTTCTTATTTTCCATAATAAGCTTGTTATAACTTAATGTGATGTTTACAAATTGTGGTAGGATTAGTCATAGAACTCTTAGGCTGAATTCATAATTACCACAAAAATCTTTAACTCGATTCTTTTTCGGTTTCTCACAGGACATTTCAAAATCTGCACTGGTTCCTGAGATCAAAATTCTCAATTCAACTGGCTGGTCACAACTTCTTCATGTTGTAGGAATGTTTACTCTCCAACCCAGGGACTCAAGTTTGGAGTCAGAGGTGAGATGAGTAAGTGAGGGAGTACAAATTGCCCAATCTAGCGTCTTGAGGACCAAATCCAGGAAAATCCAACCTGACCTTGCTTTCCTGGGGAGACCAGGCAAGGAGGTCAGGAGTCAGGTGGATAAAGGAAAGCCATGAGGACTGTAAAAGATTACACGCACGAAAGGACAAACAAAACATGGCGTATCCATACAATGGAACACTATTCAGCAATGAAAAGGAACAAGGTACTGATAGATGCTAAAATATAAATGAATGCCAAAAACATTATGCTACGTGGAATGCCAGATGCTACATACTGTATGACTGCATTCATTGAAATGTCCAGAATAGGCAAATCTATAGAGACAGAAAGCAGATTAGTGGTTGTCTGGGATGGGGTATAAGAATGGGGATAGGTTGTAATCACTCTGGGGGAATTTTTTGGGTGATGGAAATATTCATAAACTAGAATGTGGTGATGGTTGCACAACTCCATAAATTAGCTGAAAATCACTTAAGTGATTTAAAAAAATCATTTAAAACCTTAAAATGAATGAATTTTATGATATGTAAATTATCTTTCAATAAAGCAGTAAAAAAAGAAGAAAGAAAAGATTATATTCCAGCAGATTTTTGTTCTGTTAAATTTTGCTATCACCTTTAGGCCTTTTATCACTTTTAGTATTTTAAATTATTTTTTAAATTATTTAAATTGATTTTTAAGTTATTTTAAAATATTTAATATAACTTGATCCCTTAACAAAGTAAGTTTTGTAAAACCAGTAGGTGAGCTAACCTCAAACTTAGTGAAAATGTATCTATAAAAGATATAGATCACACATCTCCTTACAATGGCCTGAAATTACTGACTCCTGGCTCACTTAAGCTAACATTATTGGCAAGGAACAGTTGTGAAGCTCATCATCTTCATGCAATTGAGCCATAAGGCATTTAGCTTGTGATATTTCCCATCAATCAAGTCTTGGCGTCATCTCAGCCTAGCACAGTTAAAGGAGCATCAAATTTCAACTTGAAATTTGAAGTCAGCTGTTCTCACTCTCCCTCCATGACTATCTGACAATAGTAAACTCAGCTGTTCCCAAGGTGTCCATGTGTGATGGTAGAGAGGGGCAGGGTCCGTGTGTGGAAGGGCATACAGAACCACCAGGCAGGCCTTTCAACCTGTGCAATGGGTGATACAGGTTACTGTACTTCTCCTCAGGGTAATGGGCAATAAAAGCAGGTTATATCTGTCTGATGTACTGGAG